ATCTGAGGGCTTGGGAAGGAATTCTAGACACAAAAGAAAAGAGTTAAGCATGGCTTCTTGGTAGCAGCAATTTCTCGGGTTGGTTCTGTTTGCTGGTGGTGAGCAGAAGTGTGGTTTGCTAGCATGAACAGCTCTGGCGTGTGGGTTGGGCTGCAGAGCACTTAAACGGGGCTTGTGAGCAGAGGGCTACAAGCTGCTCAAGACAACAGAGACCCACTGTGTCCCTAGAGCTGGGGTGGAGAGCATGGCTCGCAGAGCTGGCCGTGAATGCACCTCCGCCATGTTGGGCTGGGCAGAGTAATAGACAGGGCCGTGGACTTGGTTCTAGCCACATCCACTTAGCATTTAGAAAAAAAAAGCACTCCTGGTCAGAAAATGATTACTGATATACAATAAAGAAAGACAGATTAAGACAAAAATAAACATCTAAACAGGTCACAGTGTGTTTAAAAAATGTACATAGGCTTGAGAGAAGAAAAAGAGCATAGACAGTTACAAAAAGAAATAGTTTTTTAAATATTTATTTATTATGTATACAATATTCTGTCTGTGTGTATGTCTGCAGGCCAGAAGAGGGCACCAGACCTCATTACAGATGGTTGTGAGCCACCATGTGGTTGCCAGGAATTGAACTCAGGACCATGGAAGAGCAGGCGATGCTCTTAACCACTGAGCCATCTCTCCAACCCAAATAAATAGTTTTAAAAAATAAAAAAGTCTTTAAAGAGACAGAGTACAGTCATAGATTAAAGGAGTAAAGAAAAATAAGCCATGTAAAGATGAAAAATACAGAGTGTCTGGATTATGTATATTATTGTATTTTCTGGCTGTGCATGAACTAAGTACAGAGAGACATTTTATTGTATGGGCTGATAAGATAAATCAACATATATATTTTAAATGTCTCTTGACTTTAAACTTTTAGTCTAAAGATATGTTGCTTTGGAAAAGAGGTTCTTCTTTTGTTTCCACAGAAGATGAGAACCTGTGGTTTGATCAAACAGGACCCCCTGAAGTGATGGCCCAGGTGGTCCAACTCCACAACAGCTTCAGGACTGCTGCTGAGACGGACCAACCACACAGGATACTCCATAAAAGACCTGATTAACAGCACCCTCAACCAGCAGGAAATAGTCTAAAAAAACTATGCCCAAATTCCCAAAAATTGTTTATAAATGATTGTTTTCATTTAAAAATGGTTGACTATAAGTGATTAATGATCATAGTCAATTTCTATAAAAATACAGAGGAAATGATATAGAGATGAATACTTTGCATTGGTATGGATCTTGGTCTGTTGATACAAATTTAAGGTTGATGTTGTTACACTGTGCATATGTATTTCTGTTCTTGTTTAGGGTACTGTGTTTGCGCAGCTCATTTAAAAAGCCTGGCCCTCATGTTACAGATGGCGCCCACATGGATAACTGCATCCACAGAAAGCCTGAGAAAGCTTGGGAAAGAACAGAGTAAAGCATGGCTGCTTAGTAGCAGCAATTTCTCGGGTCTGCTCTGCTTGCTAAAGGCAAGCAAGTGCTCTCATCTAAGAGAGGCTTCCTGACTCAGCTTTAGCTGTAAAACCTTGCAGCTCTTTTAAGAGGTCTTGCCATGAACACTTAAACAGTGTTGATGAAAAGCCAAAGGCATGTTTTTGGTTTTCAGTCATAGCAGGAAAAATGCTGCGCTGTTTTAAAATGCCGGCTTTCTGGACTGTCCTGCCAGGGCAAACTCTGACTCTTTCTTAATCAGGTGGTCCCGATTAAGGAGCTTTTGAGTGTTGTTTAACACTGTTACAACTTGCTTGCTGGCAGGGACCTTGAAATGCCAAAGAGTTGTGGCAATAAACATGGCTATAGCCGGTACCTCTGCCATGAGGTTGGAAAGCTAAGGAATGGGCTGGATCCAGCCGTCAAAGCCACAGCTTTAATCCTCTCCTTAAAGACTCATGTGGTTAGAAAAAGAGAGATATACAGTAAGGAGAGATTCAAAGAGGAAGAAAACCTCTAAATGGTTTACAGTATGTTAAAAATATATGCAGGCTTAAAAGAAAAAAAAAAGATAAAGTTCTTAAAAAAGAAAAAAAGAGAGTAGTTGGGTATGGTGGTACACACCTTTAATGCCAACGCTTGGGAGGCAGAGGTAGATTGACCTCTGTGAGTTCAAGGTGTGGTAGCACACAACTTTAATCCTAGCACTGGGGAGGCAGAGACTGACAGATCTCTGTGAGTTCAAGGACAGCCTGGTCTACAGAGTTATTCCAGGACAAAGATATACAGAAAACCTGTCTCAAAAAGTAAAAGTGAAAATAAAAGAAATAGAGGTTAAAATAGAGCCACACAAAGATGGAAAATACACAGAGAATCTTGATACTGTGTGTTATTATGCTCTCTTTGAATTATTTGAATGTTGAGGAAGGAGCAACAGCTGCTAAAAGATATTTGCTTATAAATGCTGCTGAACTAATCCAAGATAGATATTTTGAAAATACCCTGACTTCAAAATTGAAGTCAAAAGGTATGTTACTTTGGAGAACAGGTTTTGCTTTTGTTTCCACAGAAAATGAGAGACTGTGGATTCATTCTGAGATAAGAAAAATCCAGTTTGATCAAGGAAGACCACCTGAGAAATCTCCGGTAGGAATAGATGGCCCAGATGTCAGAATTCTACATCCAGAACAGATTCAAGATGCTGCTTGAGATGATCGAGACTCACAGGATACTCCAGTCAGGACTTGATTATAACTCTAAATTTCCTTTAGATCCCCATAAGATTATCAGTGCTCCCAAACAGCCAGAAGTAGCCTGGAATAGTACGCCCACATTCCCAACAAATGGACTATGGATATTTTTTTTTAAAAAAAGGGGGAAGTGGGAAGTGGTGTGGGAGAGTTGTTTGTAGCCTGTCAATCACGTATTAAATAAACGCTGATTGGCCAGGCAGGAAGTTTAGGTTGGTCAACCAGACAGGAAGTAGAGGTGGGGCAATGAGAACAGGAGTAGTCTAGGAAGAATGAAGCCCATTCCTCCCATTCCTGCCCAGATCACCGAGAAGCAAGATGTAACCTGTCCAGCTGTGAAAGGTACATGGGTTAATATAAGCTATAAGAGCTAACAAGTAGTCTGAGCTAATGGGCCAATCCGTTTTATAACTTATGGAGATCTCTGTGTGATTTTCTTTGGGGCTTGCCAGCTATGGGGTATTGGGCGGGACAGAAACCCCAACAAGCAGGCCCCTTCATGTTACACATTGGTATGGATCTTGGTCTGTTGATACAAATTTAAGGTTGATGTTGTTACACTGTGTATATGTATTTCTGCTCTTGTTTAGGGTATTGTGTTTGTGCAGCTCATTTAAAAATGTAATGTATAATTAAGAAATACAGGTTAATAGACAGTCATCTATAATAGTCAAGCTTGTAGTCATGTTAGATTTTTCTAGATGTACAGAGAGAAATATATATTTCACATGGGTAGGTATCCTCCAAACCTTTCAAAGACTAACAGAACATGGCATTTAAATGTTTTAAGAATTTAGGACTTTCCATGACAATGATCTGTTCCTGGCAGCACCAATCTACTTCAAGAGGATGATGGGTTTGGGTGGTGGTGGCACACACCTTTAATCCCAGCACTCTGGAGGCAGAGGCAGGTGGATCTCTGTGAGTTTGAGATCAGCCTGTTCTACAAGAGCCAGCTCCAGAACAGGCTCCAAAGTTACAGAGAAAACTTGTCTTAAAAAAAAAAAAACAAAAAGCGGGGGGATGATGGGCATTGGAGAGGCTCCTTATGGAGTTTGTTAGTCATTTGAGCCTGAAACTGCTCTTTCCTGGACTGCTTGATGGTATACTGTATAAACTGTATAAACTGGACATGCAGGAACTACAGAAAAATGACTGCCGAACTTGCCTAAAGGTGAGACAGTCCTTCAGGGATCCTGCTTTATGAAAGAACTGCCAAATATTTTGCAGGACACAGAAGAAAGTATCTGATGAACTTTGCCATTACAATGTAAAACAGATCTTCAAATGTCCTGCCTCATGGAAAAGCCTGCTGGATACTATGGGCCTGTAGGCTGAAGATGGATGCTCCAAAGATACAGAAGAACTTTAGGTGACTGCCCAGGCAGTGAGATATCTCTGCCAATTCTAGAGTTTTGGAAGTTGTTTACAATGCACTTCCTGGTAACTTAGGTAATATATCCTTCTGGGGTCTTTGATGGAGTTGAATAGATAGTTATAATTATAGTTTTCCTTAGTTATGATAAAAGATAAAGCAGATATAAATATTCTAACTGTAATTCTTGCTTGATACCTGTTTTGTTGTATGTAATTTTACTATGTTAAAGTTAAAAGCTTCCCTTTTATTTAGACAGAAAAGGGGATATGATATGGGACTTCTTTCTGCAAGCTATGAATATGTTTTATTACTATTGATTACTAAAGAAGCTGTTTCAGCTAATGGCTTACTAGAATAAAGCCAGGCAGGAAATCCAAACAGAATATAGAGAGAAAGTAGGTAAGAGTCAGGCAGATATCATGTAGCTGCTAAAGGAGAAAGATGTCAGGCCAAACCTTACCTGTAGGCCACAGTCTCATGGTGATACACAGATTAATAGAAATGAGTTAATTTAAGATGTAAGAGTTAGTTAGAAATATGCCTAAGATATTGGCCAAACAATATTGTAATTAAAAAAAAAGAAAAAAGAAAGCAGAAGACAGCAAAGGCAAGCAGGTTTCTGTATATTCATATCTTATAATACTGCTTCTTTTGTTTTATCCTTACTGACAACATGGGTAAATTTCAGATAGAGACAAACTCATCTAAAATGTTCTTCTCATTTTCATTGTCTCATACTGCCTGTTCTATCAAATCAATCTATCTCAGGCTAGGTGTGGTGGCCCATGCCTAAAATCCCAGCACTAGGGAGGCACAGACAGGAAGATCAAGAGTACAAGGTTAGCCCGGTATACACGAGACTTGAAGCTCCCAACACCTTCTTACCTGGTGAATCTGTAAGGTGCTCTTGTTTCTCTTCTCTGTCCTGGAACTGAATTAAATGTGACCACAAGGCAGACTTCCCCTGAAAACACAAGACACATCAAATGCTCACTTTAAAGAAACAATTAGTCAAACAATAATCTATCAAGAAGACCAGTGATATTATATTGGCCACTGAAAAGTCTGGCAACTCAGGATCATCCATTCTCAGCTATGTGACCCCCCCCCACCTGCTATTCCCCACTCCGCTCCCCACTTTTGGTAATGCTGGAGACTGAAAATAGGAAACTGTTTTACAGGCAAGCACTGTGATACTGAGCCATATTTTCAATCTTGTGTAACATTCTGAGCATCTCATTTCATGTGTTGTACAAGTCTTCCTTTGCTTTGCTGAGAATCCTGGCAAGAGCCTGGCAGAGGGAAGTAGTTACAGCCAGGGCAGTGTTGAAGCACTCTGGACTTAGCTCATCTGTTGCTTAGTTGTATGTGATTAGGCCACAGCAAAAAACATGGACATAAAAGACTAGTTGCATTTGTGTATCTTGGTATGAAATATCTTTAGATTTATGGAGCAGCATTGAAGGATGAAAAGTAGGGAGGAGAAAGACAAAGATCCTTTTAGAAAAAGCAACCTGAAATGAAAGCAGAGAGACCATTTAAATTTCTCCACCTTGAATTACGAGATAACTTAAAATGATAAAGAACTATTAATTTTGGTTAGCATTTTTTTTTGGCAGGGGGGGGGTGACAAGATATCTCTTACAGAGGTCCATCTGCCTCTGCCACCCCAGTAATGGTGTAACAGGGCCCCAGACCTTAGCACAACTGACTCCATGATAAAGTGACATTTAGGCTGTAAAACAGCATATAGACAATACCACCTGCCAAAACTAAATCAAAGACCCAATTCATCAAAGTCCATAGTTCTGGGAAAGTCTCTGAATGTACTAACCTTGCTTTTTGGCTTCTGTAGTTCTGCTTCTGGCTAACTGTTTTTGTTAACTGAAGTGTGTCAACCCAGGACATGGTTTTTGTCTTAAAGGCTCACCCTGAGGAAGGTTCAGTGCTATAGCCAGCATAGTCTCAGATGGCTAATAAAGATTCCTGTTGGCTTAAACCCATGTCTGAGCAGTCTTCTCTGGTGAATACTCCACAATAATGGGAATAAACACAATGTACCACCACACCTGGCTTGGTTAGTACATTTTTTTTTAAAATCTGTACAAAAGTAGATACTTACTATAATCAACAAAGGGTATAATTTCGGTAACATATTTGCAATTTTTTAAAACATAATTCTTTATCGAGTCTTTGGGAATTTCACATCATGCACCAATCCCGCCCACCTCCCAGTACCTCAATTATCCATCCTTCACCCTGTAGCATCCCCCCAAAGAACTCACCCAAAAATTAACTAAAACAAAATAAAGCAAAAAATCCCACCTCGTTCCCACATCTTTCCAACACCTCTTCATTCATTCATAAGTGCTGTGGGGTGTCATGCAGTGTACCCCTTTGTCCAGTCAGCCCCACCCGCAAAATGCTTATTGCAGTGAGTCACTGGTCTGGTTCAAGGCCTCTGGCCACACCGTTGTCACTGGATCCTCATGGAAACTCCTCTCCTATATCCTGCTGTTGTCCTAAGTAACGGAGATTCTGTGACTATTGTTCCACAAGATCAGTCCCTTTATGAACTTCAGCAGGTTATAGATGGGGCAGATACTAAGGAAGGCCAATCCAAGGACCAGAATGTGTGTCTGGATGGTAGCTAAGCTGGTAGTTGGGGCCACTGGAACCGCCCCCTCAGGCAAGGGGCAGAGCTAGCCTTCCTAGGTTCATGCCAGGCTCTCCCAACACATGTGTAATTTTGTATCTTCCTGTTTATCACTCAACCACCTCCTGATCATAGATTATGTGTCTTTCTTTCTTTGTCTTTCTTCTTCTTCTTCTTCTTTTTTTTTTTTTGAGATAGTCTCACTGTTAAGGCTTGGCTGGCCTGGAACTCACTTTGTACACCAGCTTACCTCCATCTTTCTCTGCCTCCCAAGTGGTGATACTAAGGGTGTATGCCACCACATCTAATCCAGATTTTTTTTTTTTCTGGAACTGAATGGCCTGCGATATGTACCTAGTTATCTTGTGAGATCTTTTTCTTGTCATATTTGTCATTCATGTATGGAGATTAGAAGACAACTTCCGGGGTCTCTTCTCCTTCTGCTGGGGGGGGGGGGCTCCAGAAATCAAACTCAGATCGTCAGGCTTGGTGCGGAGCACCTGCCACTTGGCAGCCTCATCCTTGCCTCTATTTTCTTTTTTTTTTGAGACAAGGTCTCTGTGTAACCCTGACTGGCCAGGAGCTAGCACTGTAGAACTGCCTGCCTGTCTCTGCCTCCAGAGTGTTGGGATTAAGGGTGTGCGCCACCACCACCTGGCCTTCTTTCTTTTCATTAGGACAGGGTCTCACTCTGTAGATCAGGCTGCCCTCAACAGAGATCCACCTGCTCTGCTTCCCCAGTGCTGTGGTTAAAGGTGTGTGCCACACTGAACGGTACCTGACATGAATAAGCCCTTGACTGCCCAAGCCACTATCGCCTCTTGAGTTACTTACCTGCTTGACCTGTAAGCCATGGCTCCATATCCTCTCCAGCAGGTCGCAGAGGCTGGCGATCAGGGTATTCTCTTCCAAGCCAGTGATGTTTGCTTCTCCGTGGCCCAGCTCCACCGCTTCGTGTCCCATCTTCTCCACCAACATGCGCTTTGTCTGAAAACATCGTGACTGGTCATAAATCACCACAGCAGTGAAAATCAAAACCAAAGAATCGATTACTAGTTCAGGAAATCCTTCATTCATTACATGGCTTCCTTCATTACAATTCTAGTTACATATTTTCAGTCACCATGGAGAAAATATCTTAATACGGTGGTCAGCTGGTGGGAGCAATGCCTTCTAAAATGTTAGGGCACTAATGAAGAAAAATGCTTGTAAGGCATTGTGATGTTGGAAAATACATGTAATTTAGATTATAACTTCTGTAATGATATAATTGTTCTAGATCTTCTAAAATCACCTTGAATCTAGAAAGTGCACTTTCTGACACCAGCACCTTGACCTATCGCGACGATCTGACCTTCCTGACTCTGGCACCTTGGTGACCTAAAGCTTTCTGCACTTGAGCCAAAACCACAACAGAAACGAGCAGCTCTACGTTTTTTCTTTTCCTCCCATTTTGTTTTGGTTTGTTTTTGATAACTTCCTGGTTCGTGAGAGAACTAGGGTTCTCCCCTTCTCTCCCTTTTCTCTCCTCCTTGCTCACAAGATATATCAGAAAATGAAAACCAGTTTCCGGTAAATTAATTCGCATCAACCTTCGCTAGTATTGCACATGTAAGGTGAGAGAGCATACGGCTCCCTAGGTGGTACCTTGTCTGATGACCTGCATACACGGATACTGAAAACAGCGTTTTTATTGAATATGTTCATGTTACTTAAAAAAAAAACCTGAGGTTTATATAGATACTGCATATAAAGGCAGTTCTGTGAGAGAAGAATTTTATCTAATATTCACAGAGGCTGGCGATAACATAGTTATAACACAGTTAAGGGCTCAGGTTAAGAGCACTGCCTGCTCTTACAGAGGTCCTGAGTTCAACTCCCAATAACCATATGGTGGCTCACAATCACCTGTGCCTTCTTCTGGCCTGCAGGCATACACGCAGGCAGAACACTGTTACATATAAATAAAATCTAAAAAAAAAACGATGAGAATAACTATGCAAGACTCCCAAGTCATTGATGCTGTGGGCAACGGAGACTTCAAAGAGGTTCACGATTTCAGTGAAGATCATATCCAGGTCTATGTTACAAAAAAGTTTCTTCTGAAGCTGGAGAGGTGGCTCAGTGGTTAAGAGCACTGGCTGTTCTTGCAGAGGACCTGGTTTGATTCCCACAACCACACGGTAGCTCACAACCATCTATAATACCAGTCTCAGGATTTGATGCCCTGTTTTGACCTTCATGGGCACTGCCCACATGAAGCACACAGACTCATAAAAAATAAAATGATAAACTTTCTCTTCAGAGAAGCTCCAGGCAGAACTGGGGCTGTCTCAGGTCGGACCCACATATGGTATAATATGAAGCACACCGTGTGGCAGCAGCATACATACCTTCATTCTGCATTCTTTTAATAAGCCTTCTACGAATTTCCAGTTGGTTTGTGCAATCACAGCAGGTGAGAGATCTGACAACTTCGGTTGCCTCATGTTCTTTCCTAAGCTTCGTGCCTCTTGCATATATTTCTAAAAATCAGGAGTATTTTTAAATGTGCAAACATCACATATTCTTTTCTACTTAAAACTTACATGAACAAATACGACAAGCAAGATGTAAAAAAGGCCTTAAGTGTATGTGTATAACAGGAATTAAGATTTTAGTGCTCTTGATAGAAGGCAGAAGACGTGTACTCCTCTTGAAACAGTTAACTCTTGTGAAAACGAGAGTGACAGAAACATTATTAAGTTGAAATTCATTAAAAACCAGGAGTTTCATTGAGTTTAGTCTTTTTAGTGGGACCACCACAATTATAATTAGTTAGGATCAAGAAAAGACTCAAAAACAAAGACTTCATGTCCCTCAATCATCTGGGGTACTACTCTCCAGCCAAATCTTCGGCTCTAATTAACTTTCAATAGTACCAGTACTGTACTGTAACTAGTTTTTATGACCTCAATCATATCAATGAGCATCTAATGTTGCTGCACCTCACTGTATGATGCACGCTATAGTTCACAGAAAAGATCGAAAAGAGTGATGTGCTGCAAACATGGGGGCACGTGTCTGCATAAAACCTTCCCTTGCCTTGTTCTAGCAGCCTTAGTTTTAGGCCCAGAGTCCTTTGTTGACTTTGCGGTTACATACATATAAACACAAAAACATACATTCCAATATTCTTGAACTTTGTTTAGTCAATTTCCATAAAAGTTAAAAACAGGGAAGGGGCTACAGCTCAGAGTGCTTGCTTATTGTGCACAGAACTTGCAATCAATCCTGAGTACCACTTAAACCACGTTTGGTATTACACACCTATAGCCTGGGTACCGAAAGGTGAAGGCAGGAGGAACAAGAGTTCAAGGTCACTTATGTGGCCAGGTTAGGTTACTCAAGACCACCTCTCAAAACAGCAACAATAAATAAACAAGCAAGCAAACCAAACAATACCCATATACCTAGTTAGTGTAAGACTATAGTCTCTGTGCTTGCATGCTGCATCAAGAGTACAAGGCAGAATCTCCTAAAGATACAAGTGTGTTAAGACCACATTTTTAATAACTGCTCTAAATCATACAGTACAACTAGTACTTTGTTGCTAGTGAACTGACACATCCACAGGCACAGGTGTGAACCTGTCCTCATTATCCTACGGGGAGAACTGAACACTATAAACAAGATGTGGAAAATCCTTTGCAGTCTTTGAATGTAAGAGAATCTGTTTCCCCTATGAAAGAAAATCAACCTGCTAAAGTTCTACTGACTGAGGATCAAGTGATTAGCTTCTCTCAATATACATGACAAAAGGCAACATTAACAAAATAATATGGCTTCTCAGTCTAATAATTTTAAAGAACCACTGAAACAACAAATGAATCCCTGTGTAACAGGTTCTTCAGCGCTTACATGCACTTTTCTGCTTTAATATTATTCAAAGGAAAAAACGGAAAATTGAGAATGAGAAAACTATTATCAGTAGGGACATTAAATATAGCAGTGGGCATAAAAACATATTGAAAGTTGATTTTCAAGTAACTAAATGTAGGAAATAGAAGCAGTTTCAGAAAAATCAATCTGAGTTACAAGGCAGCATCTACATGAGAATTGTATTTTCATTCTCTATTGTTACTTGGGGACAGAATTAAAAGCTAGATATGAAGATTAGTAAAAATAAATCTTTAATGTTTAAAGAGTTTTCCCCCTGGGGATACAGCTCAACTGTAAAGTGCTTGACCAGCAGGACAGAACCCTGGTTTATCCCCAGCACCAGATAAAACCTGGTGTGCCGGGTTAGAGAAATGGTCCTGAGTGTGTGCTGATTTGGGGAGCACTTCAGTTTGGCTTCCAGCACCTACACCAGGTAGCTCAGATAACTCCAGTTCCAGGGGTATGCGATGTCTCTGGCCTCCATAGGCCTGCACTCAAGTGCACATAGCCCCACAAACATGAACTTAATTTAAAAATAAAAATAAAGCTCAGGTGTGGTGATCCACACCTTTCATCCCAGCACCAGAGAGGCGAAGGTATGCTGATTTCTGTAAACTTGAGGTCAGCCTGGTCTACACAGGGAGCTTCAAGACAGCAAAGTGTACATAGTGAGACCCTGACTCATAAAACTACTACGACCACAATAACAATAATAAATACTATTATTATTAAAAACAAACCACGGGCTGGAGAGATGGCTCAGTGGTCAGGAGCACTGGCTGCTCTTCCAGAGGTCCTGAGTTCAATTCCCAGCAACCACATGGTGGCTCATAGCCATCTATAATGAGATCTGGTGCCCTCTTCTGGCATGCAGGCACACATGGAAGGAATGTTGTATACATAATAAATAAATGAATCTTTAAAAAACAAAACAAAACAAAACAAACAAACAAACAAAAAACAACCCAAAATGGGTATAGTGGTGCATGTCCTTAATCCCAGTACTTAGGAGGTGGGAAAGGAGAATCAGAAGTTCAAGATCATCCTTAAATACATGCCAGGTGAGAGCAGGCTAGGATACACGAGTCCCTGTCTCAAAAACAAATGCAGAGGTAATCGCTCTTGCAGAGGACCTGGGTTTGGTTCCTGACCCCACTTCACAGTTGGTTCAGTTTACAACCAACTGTTAACTCTAGCTACAAGAGATTCAACGCCTTCTGAGGGTACTGTATTCATGTGGCGTATACATTACTCAGACAGACTGACAGACACACACAAAGCAAAAAAAAAAAAAACCCAAAACGACAACAACATCAACAACAAAAACCACCTGGCTGTGGTGGTGCACACCTTTAATCCCAGATCTTGGGAGGCAGAGGCATGCAGATCTCTGAGCTCCAGATCAGAGTTATACGGTTGATACTCTGCCTCAAAACAACAAAACAAGAACAACAACAAACCAAGAAAAGCAAACCAAACAGACAAATAAATAAGTAATATAAAAGCAATAAGCCACTAGTAAATATATATGAAATTGCAATCTTGTTCAATAAACACTGAATTTGGAACTAAGTACCTTCTCCACAGTTTAGACTCTAACCTTCTAATTGGTGCTAACTTACTGGAAGACAAGACAACTATAAATGTAAACTAATAATATAATGAGAAAAAGTTGTAAGCCAGAGTCTTAGACCATTTGTATTCTCAGGTGAGTAGGGGTTAGAGCAAACTGGTATGCAGGAATAGCGGGAAGACACTCGAGCCTGGACACCAGGGTCCTGTGCTCAGCTCTGCTCTGTATGTCCATTTAACTGTGGGCAAATTTCTTGCTCATCAGCTAAAATGTCAAGTTAGACAAGAGAACCCCAAAGGTTCCACTTAGTACTAACAGTCTATGACGATGAGTGAGGGAGTTTTCTGAAACACAAAATGTAGACCAGGAAAGTAAAATGGTATGAAGACAAACACTAGCAAAGAAAAAGTCATACTCAGCTACTTCTGCACTTGTGGGGAAAAAGGCTGAAAATACGAAAGAATTTACAATCCTCTCCCACTTAGAAGAAAAGCAGTTTGTTATCGAGGATATATACACATGTGTGTGTATACACACACACACACACATATATATCCATATATGTCCCCAATGACTCGGGATCTGAATGTCGTTTTACTGTCAACAGCATAGAATTACTTGTGTGAGCACACTCTAGCACAAGCAGGCAGAAATCACAAGATGAAGCACTGAGCAAAACATGCTACATGCACTCAGTGTGTGTGCCATTAGAGAAACACCAAAGACAGGATTCAGGACCATCTTGGGAAGCACTTTCGAGGCAGAGGACATACCAGGCAGCACTCAGAGAAGGACTTTTTAGGAAGCCGTGCAGGAGGAGCTGGGCCCTGATCCCACTCCCAGAATGCCATGGAGTTCTGACAGACCAAAAGTTCCCCGGAAGGCTAAGATGATGGCGACGTTTCAATGACAGAAAAGTAGAAAAAGGAAAAGGAAAAAGAAAAAAAAAAAGAAGCAAAACCTGCATGCATATGATAAGGTCACAGCACGGGAGAGGGCAGTGAAGGAAAGGCAATGAACAAGAAAGGCTTCAGTTTGGAAGGATGTTTTCTGTTTTCTACACGTTTGAGTTTACAAAGCAATGAACAAGATTTTGTTTGCATTTTTTGATCACATGAAATGAAACATTTAAACATAATTTGAATTTTATTTTCAATGAATACAAATAAAGCATATAGATCTACATCTAAAAACAGTTCTGTAACTTCTAAAAAATGGTCAGCAAGCCAAAGAGAAAGAACACATTAATATATCTTGACTTACTAACCTTAAATTATATTTGAAATGTAGATATATGTGTCCCTCAATGTTGCTCCCTTCACAAGACTTACTGACCAAAACTTTACTCTAAACACAGCTTCTATTAGATTTAATACACAGAAATACAGCCCTATTTTAGGTGAATAAAAGGACAAAACTGGAAAAATGTTTTCTGTTACACTTCAGCATGAAAATAGTATTTTACAGTAAGACGACCGCGCCCCGGGCAGTCCGACCACATACCTCCCGTAAGTCGTTGTCCAGTCCAATGTGCTCGGAATGCTGGCGAAGGCGCTCTTTCCGGCGCTGTGCCGTCGCATTTCGGCTCACCCAGCGACTGGAAAATAAATGCACCAAGACAAAATAGACTAAGAAAACTCCAACTTAAAAGACATGAAGAAAGAATGGGCTGGGCGGTGCTGACACACGCCTGTAATTCCAGCACTGGAGGCAGAGGCAGGAGGATCTCTGAGCTGGAGACCAGCCAGGTCTACAGTGAGTTCCTGGATAGCCAGAGATACACAGAGAAATCCAGTTTCAAAACACCAAAACCGAAACCAACCAAAACAAAACAAAAAACAAAAACACCAACCTCCTTCAAAGCAACTACATAAAACCAAACCAAACAACAACAACAAGATAAAACAACAACCATCCAGAAAGAATGAGCCATTCTGCACAGAAGGCTGATGACAGCTGCTCTCTTTCCTGCTTCCCTTGTCTTTCGTCTGGACAGTCTGCCTTGCTGTGCGCTTTTGTCTGGGTTTGAAATCACGATCCTCTTGTCTTCTGTACAACCACCATGCTCAGTTCTTTCAATCAATTCTTTTCAAAATATGTTTAAAGTTATAATTTTAGATACAATTTAACTTACCCATTCAAAGCACTCAATCTAATGGGTTTTGGATATTCACAACCATCACCACAATTTACACTTTTTAAAAACTGAGATTAGGAACTGGAGAGAGGTCAGCAATTAAGAGTCCTTGGTGCTTTTCCAGAGAACCTGAGTTTGGTTCCAGCACCTTATGGGGCAGCTCACAACCACCTGTAACCAGTTTCCAAGGATCTGATGCCCTCTTTCAGCCCCCACAGGATCCACTGTCATATGACACACTCACACACACAGACACACACACACACAAACATCTCTAAAAAATAAAAGTTGAGATTTTAAAAGGGAGGTACTAAGTGCTAGATACACATACACATTATAAACATAGTAACAAGTTAGACATTTTTTTAAAGACATGGTCTGTGTAGCTCTGGCTGTCTTGGAGCTACGTAGACTATGCTGGTCTTGAACACAAGATCCCCCTGCCTCTGTCTCTTCATGCTGGGATTAAAAGTGTGCACCACCACACCCAGCATCAAGTCAGATCTTAACTCAAGTTGATCCCTGATGATATCAAATAAATGCAAATCTCCTTGATGTGTTCCAAGTAAATATTATAGGTAAATATTTTTAGCAAAAAAGAATATTCTCAAAGTTCGTAATTCACAACAACTTAATTGTGGTGTCCTAAAAGAATAAAATAAATTTCTGATTTTCCACTTAAAAAGATTAATTTTTATCTTAACTATAAATGTACGTATCTATGTGTAGGTATGTGCATGTGAGTGAAGGGGCCCATGCACGGCCTAAGACTCTCTGGAGCTGGAGCTGCCAGTGGTTATGGGCCAGGCTGGGTCTTCTGCAGGAGCAACATATGCTCTTCATCACTAACCCACCTCTCCATGCTGGACTGCCAAGTTTTTAAAGGGATATCTTTCTAAACTTAAGGCTCTTTTGTGTCAGGGAGCTAGAATGTGATTTCTCTGGGCTCCAAAATTGTATGATTGTGTTTCTATGAAATCGTAGCCTATATTATAAGATGATTTATAAAAAACTTGTTTTTTTAAAAAAAATTATTTAATGAGCATCTATGTTTTGCCTTCATGTATGTCTGTGTAAGGATACTGGATTCTCTGGAACTAGAGTTACAGTCATCTGCAGTCCCTGCTGCCATGTGGATGCTGGGAATTAAACCTGGGTCCTCTGGAAGAGCAGCCAATTTCTCTAGTCCTGGTCCTCAGAAATCTGAGACATTTCCATCTACTGAGATAATGCCCACCTCCTGTTACATTAGCTCTTCCATACCTTAATTCCAATACCTCTGTGCTGCTTTTTCTTTTAGTTCTGGCCTAAGACACAAGGAAAATCGTACAAAGTACAACAAAAGTTTCCTTTCCTCTATAACGATCCTCTTCCTTCCAACCTTGCTCAACAGAGCCCCAAATCCTGGGAATACGGCCCTTGATTCCTTGGCCTCATGCCATTTCAGGGCTGCTTTCCTTTATGACATGAGTGTCTCCATATGCTCTTTATCAACTTATTCTCAACACAGACTTTTCCTTTTACTCCCAAGTGCTACCATTCAACTGATGAATACAACGCAAAATGTAATTTCTACAGCCATGATGTGGGAGCCCCCTCTGTATGCTATGAATATGCTTTATTACCATTGGTTATTAAAGAAAATACCACTGGCTATTATTGGTTTGGCAAGTGGCTTAGAGTAAAGCCAGGTGGAAAATCTGAGAAATGGTAGACAGTAGGTGGAGTCAGGGAGATGCCATGTAGCTGCCAGAGGAGACAGAGCTACAGCTTTACCTGGTAAGCAACTCTCGTGGTGATACACAGCATAACAGAAATGGGTTAATTTAAGATCTAAGAGTTAACCAGGAATATGCTTAAGCTATTGGCCAAACAATATTGTAATTAATATAGTTTTGTGTGATTATTTGGGTCTGAGTGGCCATGAAATGAAACGTAACCCTCTTCTACACGCTTATTCATATAAAAACTACATGGCATCAATAGCTCACAGTAAATAAAACTAACAGAGAAAATATACAAAGACCAAGCGTAACTCTTTGGCACAGAGGTCTTGAGAGAAGGAGCTTGCCTCCAGGCCTGACGACATGAAAAGTTGACTCCCAAACGGTGTCCTCTGGTCTCGGCACGTGCACATAGCATGTGTGCATTCCCTCCAACAAATGTAATTTAAGGGGAACATAGCACTGTCATAAAAACAGTTGTCAGTACAAATTTCACAGGGACTGAAAAACACCAGGGTTCATCCGAGCATAGAGGCACATGTTTGCAACCCCACCTCTTGGGAGGCAGAGACAAGGGGACAGCCTATTGTAGGCCAACCTAAGCTATTTGGTAAGACCCGGTCTCAATAAACCCCAAGCTAAATCAACCAAACAGCCAAAAAAAAAAAAAAATTGAAATCCTCTTCATGAAACCAATCAGGGTTAATAGGCAGGGTGCAAACAAACACTGAAACTATGAAAGGATAAATATGCTCTGTGGGGCAAAAATATCCTACTTAAAATTTGTTTTCAAAACAGATAAATGAGTACTGTTTAAGAAAATTACTGGAGAAGGAGAGCATGGGGTCGTGGTGCTGCCAGTGGGCTTCTGGGGTGCTGGCGGGGTGCTGTGCAGTGACCTGAAGCTTGTGTGGGTCCTGCCCTGTGCCCCCGCACACACTCCCTAGCTGCACAGCCTCCCTGATTCTCTAAAACAGGATCGCTGAGATGAGTCTCACCAATATTCTAGTATTTATGGTAATTCAGAAACCCTGAACCAGCTCAATGACATTAAGTATTTGCATGCAAAGCTGTTTGGGCAAAGTAACACACTGTATTACACATAGCAGATTGAAATGCTTTAACAAATGAATGTGCAATAGAGAGAAAGATGACGGAGAGAAGCAACGGAAGCAACAGGTAAGAGAGTGCGGCCCAGGAGCTGACAAAGGAGCTGTAGCCGTGAGGCTGAGAGTAAGACTCTGGGAGGCTCAGGCCACCACCTGCCCTCCTTGCCTCATTACTGTCTTCTAGGTTGGCGCTGCCTGTGGCGTGGAGCAGCTGCTCGCCTTGCTGCAGGGAGGAGAACACAGGGCCATGGTACCCACAGGCTGCAAACATGATGACTGAGCCGGAGTACCAGTGAGGTGGCTGCCACTCAGGGCAGGGCAGGGTGGTATACAGAAGCCTGGAGCTAACACAGGTCCTGCCCCCGGTCACGCCGCCCAGCTTCACTATCACCCTGATATCCGAGGTGAAGAATGCTTCATTTTCTGAATCAAGTCTCCTTGAAAGACTTCCATGGTCTGTGCTGCCCCTGGAGGCAAGGTTGATGTCCATGATCTTGCTACTGCAAGAAACCATGCTGAGGTCCATGATCTGAGCTGCTGCCAGTAATAGTCTGCTCTGTCTCTTTAAGAGACAAGCCATGCCCACTCCCTCCCAAGTCCACTGAGGCAAGCTGATCTTCAGTTTCCAGCCTGAGTCCCTTCTTTTCCACCTCCCTCTCGAAGAGGTAGCTTCTGTCTCTCTCTTCTCCCCACTTCTCCCCTTCTGTCCCCCCCACCTCTCTCTCTCCTCTTCTCCCTTCTCCCCTTCCCTTCCATAACCAACTAAGTAAATATCCAACCTCACTCTGCATGGCGTGTCTATCCATGTCTCTGTCTCTCACCCACCCGGAACAAGCCGCCTTCAGAGACCTGCGGTGTGGTCTTGTGGCATGCCTATCTGTCTGTCTGTCTTTCCGCATGGGACTGGCTGCCCTGCCAAGGTCTCTCACCCACCATGCGGCTGGACTCATTGCCCCTCATGGCCCACTGCAGCTGTCCCTGCCTGGGACTGGCTGCTCTCGGGGGAGGGAGGAATGACACCTGCAGTGTGATCTCATGGCCTGCTGCCTGCTGCAGCCACTTGGGGATCCGCAGCATTTTAATTTTACCATTACACTGCCCTCTCCATAAAACAAAAATACCAAGTACAATTTGTGTTGCCCAGTGGCCAGTCCCTTAAGAATAACTGAGTCTTGCTGGGTGGTGGTGGTGCACATCTTTAATTTCAGCACTCAGGAGGCAGGTGGATCTGTTTGACTTCAAGACCAGAGTACATTCCAAGACAGTCAAGACTGTCCCACAGAGAAACCCTGTCTCAGTCCTTCCCACCCCTCTGCCATAAACCATCAACTATGAAGACTATATATATTATAATTTGTGTGTGTGTGTAGGGGGAGAGAAGTTGTCACAGAAGCCTTCAGGGTCTCTCATTCTCAGTTATGAGTCTGTAATCATGGATATCACTGCAGAAGAAGCTTCTTTGCCCATAGTAGAAGCAACTACGAACCACACTAGGCATAGGTTGAGCATAGGAGACATCAAAGCCTGCCCCCACAGTGACTCACTTCCTCCAACAAAGCCACACCTCCTAATAGTGTCACTCCCTATGGGCCAACCATTCAATCACATGAGTTTAGGGGAACCATACCTACTAGACTACCATAGTGCATTATCATCATGGTGGGAAGCATGGCAGCTCACACACAGGCAGACAGTGCTGGAGAAGGAGCCAAGGGTTCTACATGTGAACTGGCAAGCAGTAGGGAGAGCGACAGTGGCTTGAGCTTCTGAAACCTCAAGCTCACCCCGTGACACACTTCCTCTACAAAGCTGCACCTCCAGCAATGCCACTTCCTACGAGCCCACTGTTTCCATTTTCATTCAAACCAGTACACCCTCCCTTCCAAGAACTCCAGAGTTTCCTTCACTGTTTATATTACTTTATTATTTATCTTATTTGAGAAAGGTCCTCAGTGGCCTCTAGCCTCAGACCTCTTATGGAACTCAGACTGGTCTTGAAGCTGTGCTCCTCCTGTCTCGGACTCCTTTCTGCTAGGATTGCAATTGTCAGCCATCTCACTTGCTATAAATATATCTCTATTTTTATTGTTATATTCATTTCATTGTTAAATTCTTTTTTCTTCCTAAAACAATCTTTCTATGTAGCCCTTGAATTTGCCTCAGTTACCCAAATGCCAAGATTACAGATATATACCACCAAGCTGGATTCACTGTTAAATCTTTAACCAAGATAATCCTCATATATACTAATGGTACAACCAACACTTACCAAATAGATGAACGAGAACTATAATGTTTTCAAATGGAAATAAAAACTAGGCCAACAGTGTACTCATTTATATCAAAGCAGTTCAAACAATTTTGAACATTTAGAAGTAAAAGAAAAGAAAACTTGAGACCTGGAGCTGTAGCTCAGTTGGCAGAATTCTCACCGCGCAAGCATACCACCTTTAGATTCCTCTCCAGCATCACATAAGACAGATGACTGGTCACACACCTGCAATCCCAGTACTCTAGACACAGGCAGGATGAACTGCGCTGGGCTCTAGAGTGGCTGCTGGAGAAGGGAGAGTCAGGTTTCCCCAGGGCACATTGTCCCTGCTAGGTTGCCCATGCTCCAGTAGCTGGTCCTACCCTCTCACATACTGCCAGCATTAATTAGACTCAGCCGTCTAAAATATAAATAAATAAATGTGGATATTAGTTGGGAAAGGACATATGTGTGTGTGTGTGTGTGTGTGTGTGTGAGAGAGAGAGAGAGAGAGAGAGAGAGAGAGAGAGAGAGAAAAAGAGAGAGAGAGAGAGAGAGAGAGGGAGGGAAGGAGAGCACTGGGAGGATTTTTGGAGAGCAAGAAGGGGTGGATATTATCAAAACACACTGTATATGTGCATAAAATTCTCAAAAAAATAAATAGAAAATACATGAAAAAGAAGTTCTGAGCAATCTGAACTAAAAGTCTGAGGCCAGTCCAGGAATACAAGACCATGTCTCAAACAAATAAACAATAAACAAACCCCTTAGAGTTATTCTCTTACGCTCTTACAGCAGAACTGGATTTGGTTCCTAGCACCCACATAGTGGCTCACAAGAATCTGTTAACTCCAGTGTTAGGAGATCAGATGCCCTCTTCTCATTACCACTGGAACCAGGTATGCACATGGTGTACATAATATACATGCAGGCACAATACTTATACACATAATCACCAACAACTTTTAGTAAAGCTTTAAGTTCAGTGCTTATCTGTCTTGCTTCTGACACAGGGTCACGACATAGCCTACATTATCTTCAAACTTGACATGTTCAGGTTCTCTTTAAATTGAAAATTCTCTTAGGTCCCCCTTTCAAGTGTCAGGGTTACTGGCAAAAGTCAGCACCCCTGGTTAGTAGTAAGACAGTGTTTTAATATAGTCATTCAAATGTGGACTTGGGTTTGATCTGTAGCACTTCAAGGGGGAAAAGACCACAGGGTAGGGGCTCAGCCCAGTGGGAGACCACCTATCTCTGAGCACAAAGCCCTGGGTTTAGTCTATGGGCTGAATCTCTGAGCACAAAGCACTGGTGGTGGGATGGGGGACAGAACAAAAAGAAAGAGAAAAGGAGAGAACTGAATTCTACTTCAGTCTTTTTCAATTATTGAGACTTGCCAATATCAATAACAAAAACAGAAATTAAAAAAAGAATACAAGAAAGACACATGTCTACTGATAGTTCTGCAGAAAGAAAACTTCTTTCTTTGGAGCCCTTCCCCCTCCACATAACAGAATAAAAGTCAAGTGCATACAGTGGATCAATTAAATTTAAAAATGTAAACTGATAAGACATTTAGTGCTCACACACTGCCTAGCTAACACTGCTTTCTTCCATTCAGCCAGTCACTCAGGTAAACACATGCTTACTTGTTATTGGTTGGTCCTGCTGCCAAGACATCGGACTGTAGCTTTGGAAAGAACCCTTGCTCATATTTGCCTTGACCGATTTTCATATCAAGTAGATGTGGGTGAATTGCAGTGTGATCCATTTTCATCAGTCTTTGCTCAATTGACTGGGCTATAAATTAAATTTATAATAAATTAGAGGCATTTCATTCCTAAAACGCTGTATCATATATTCATGCAGCTACAGAAAACTGAAACCACTGTTACTCAGAAACAGATTTTACAAAGGCCATTGATAATCAGAAATATGACTTTAGAAAGATTAATTTTAAATAAATAATGAAAATATTATATACACATACACATATCCACAGGGAACATATAGCAATGTAGCTTTTTAGTAATTATACTGCTAGGGAATACTGAATATTCAGAAGTTATCATGCCTACTTTGTGAGGTCAGAGGTTGTGTCTACTCAAGACTTTCAAGGGTTTGTGTCAATATTGATTTGTGGTGACTGGTGAGGAAAAAGAAAACTATATTACTATCTATTTCTTGTTTTTCTACATAGAAATCACAAGGCTCTGAAGCTACAATATCAACAGCAGATAGTCTGGGCCTCACGGGTTCACCTGCAAATCAAAATTCTTTTTGGTTAGAGGAAAAACAGCAACAGAAGCACATAAACACAAAAATACCAGTCCCAGAAACAACACCCACCTCTATGTCTTTTCCTTTTGCTGGGGGAGGAAAGCAATTTTACTGATGAAAGAAATAATGGGGTCAGGCCTAGTGGTACAGGAGTGTAAGCCCAACTAGTCAGGAAGCTGAGGAAGGAGAATTGTGGGTTCAAACCTTTCTTATGCCATTTATTGAGACTGTTTCAAAACAAAGAGTATAAAAAAGTACTTGTGTGCTTCCGTTACACCCAAGGCAAGGCCCCATCTTCAGTTCCCAGCACTGAAAACAAACACAGGCAAGCACACACTTGCACCAAACCAGTATCTGTGTCAGATGGGGGAGCCACAGACTACAGTCTCCTTTTACAGTTTCAAGTCTTTAACTTCCTGGGGACCTCATCTTATTTTCAGGTAAGCTAAGTCTACAATGGAACATGTTCAAAAGTGCTTCACACAATTTCTGCAATGAGAGTGGGATTATCAGGCTCCAAGAGGCAAAGAGAAGCCCATTTGAACTGGTAAGATTCTCCAGATACATGTTAAGCTAAGAAGCTGGTACTTCATCCCATTTTAAAAAACTCTGTCAGGAAGAGAGGGATGAAATTTTCCCAACGAGGCACTCACATAACTATTAAAAACACTGGAGTCATAATTCCCTGGACAAACAACTTCATTCATCTGTCTCCTCAGTTTCTAGAAACACAGAGAGAGGTATTCCAAGGAATTGCCCGTATAAGTAGGAACACAACAGTGATGAAGACGGCATAAAGTTATCACGGAACACTTCTTTCCTTAAAATGCTGAAACTCACAAGGCAGTGCGGCTCATACTTTTAATCTCAGCACTCAGAGAGGCAGAGGCAGGTGGATCTCTGTGAGGATGGAAAGGGAGGGACAAGGGAGCAACAGAAGCAGAACAAGGAAGCCACATGTGCGCTGTGTCCTTTCATCCACCAGAAAGTTTGGTCTCAAATAAAAAGTGTCACTTTTAGGGTGTCTTTGTGTAGCCCCAGCTGTCCTGGAACTAGGTCTGCGGACAGGCTACCCTTGAACTCAGAGAGAGCTGCCTGCCTCTACCCCAAGTGTGGGGATTAAAGGTGTGCGCCACTACTGCCCAGCAAAAGTACTACTTTTTACTGAATGGAAAGAAATAAAAGGATATATATTTTTCTATTCAGCAAAGAATAGGCTGGGAACTAGGTATAAATGCGCAAAGCTACACGAATTGGTACATTTTCATTTTTTTGTTAAAGAATACAACCACTAATAAAAGAATAAGGCTTTAAGTACTAGAAATCAGTCAGATCTGGATCCAACTTGTGGCTCCACTGAGAAGCAGTTACAGAACCACAGCCAAATTCTTTAACCTCTCAGTTTCCTCGCTCATAGGATGATGATAAAGAACCAACAACAGCCAAGCACACACCCTGTCACTAGGATTACATGTAAAGGCGTATCAAAACACACAGCGGCACATAGGAAAGACTCATGCTGGTTATCATAACAGAAAGTATTTCACAACCAGACAAGTCCAGGAAAATTCATCATTCTTTGAGAGAAACTGGTGTTAGGGTTGGGGGAACCTTTAATTTGAATGAAAAAACCCAGAGATTTAATTTCAAGACATGAAACTATATAACTATCTGTACCACAAAGCAAACATGTACTATTTTAGTTATGTAAACTAGACAGCACCTCAGATTTCCTTTTCGTTTTTATTTTAGACAAAATCTTGCTACATTACCCAGATGGCCTTAAACTACTGGTCCTTCTATTTTGACTTCCTGAGTGCTAGGATTCAGACATTTACCACCATGTTTTGGGTTAAGCTAGAGACAAGAGGAGACAGGTAAAGAGGCAGCATCAGTAGCAAGATGGAGATTAACATTTTTTTTCTAACACAAGAAAATGACAAAAATCTGCATCTTTTGAATGTCCATAAAAATAGGGATTCACAGAATCTGAAGAAAAGTGTAACAGCTTCTTGGTAAACACCAGGACTAGTCAATGATGTCTCAAAATGAAAATTAATTTTAGGCAGGTGGTGGTGGTGCACTCCTTTAATCCCAGCACTTGGGAGGCAGAGACAGGCAGATCTCTAAGTTCAAGACCAGCCTGACCTACAGAGCAGGTTCTACGACAGCCAGGGCTTCAGAGAAAAACCCTGTCTTGAAAAACAAAAAAATTAACTTTGTGCTGTATAAGTCAACAGTCTATAAAAAGAAATGATCATGAATTTAAAAGAAAAAAAGGCATGGCAAATATACCTGCTTCTTTTAAACTGTTGCATTTCTGATATATAGATGTCCGCAGGGTGGGTGTGGGTGCCCTTACGTTATACAACCTTATCTTCTCAATCCGAGAATCAAAGACCCGAAGCAGAGGGTCTTTCTCTTCCCACTGAGACATGATTTTATTATCAATAAAGGTGGCAAACATCTGTGTTTCAATGAAGCGTGAAAGAAACGGCAGGTAAGGCTCAGGCTGGTCAGAGAGGAAGGAAGCCTGAAATGAGATAATTAGCAAATTATTAATGGGGTCATCTTAATATTATGTAAGATGAACATGAACAGTGTGTTAAGGTTATTACTTTTCAAACTTATATAAAACTGATGTTTGACATTTAAAGTCTTACAAATCTGTCCTGATGACCACTATGCACAAGAGAGGACATCATCAGTGAACGATGGTGGATAAGGTGCTACACAGTGGACTGTCAGCCGTCCACTTCACCTACCACGACAGCTGGTTCTTCTGCCCAGGGAGTAATCTCTTCTGTTCTCTGTTCCTAGCGTGGGAAATGAACCTCTAACCAAAGGCCACAAGATGAGGGAGTGACTATATATCAAATTATATACATATCAAAATCAGATATGTATATATACACATATATGCATAATAATTTACATATGCATATGCAAGAACTTAAAAATAACAATATGGAATTTGTGCCTATGGGTAAAATTCTTTTGATCTTCAAGCAGATGGTTTTCTAACTCAAGATTAAACTCCTTCCATACCTGTGTTAACACAATTGTCTGTGATTTAAAGAGAAAAAACATTGCATAAAAAGAGAAAAAAGTATACAAGAGGATCTTCAAGATGACACAAGCTGTTCTTCCCCCACTATAACGGCTTCTATCTGAAGCGCTCACATTCCTTTGCTCTCTTCAGTTCATGTATACTGTATGTAGGAATTCTAAACTTGTAAGTGAACTCCTATTCCAGCCATTGGGTTGGTTTTGTTTTTCTTTCTTCGACTCTTCAAAGTCAGATGTGGTATCAGAGTCAGAGGAGAAAGGGGAAAGGCAGTTCCAATATAAAGTTGCTATTTTTAGTATTCATCAAGTTTCTTCCTAGAATACTTAATTTTTCCATTTATTACTTCGGGGTATTTTTAATAAAAGCTTCTTTACAGAGCCCACTTTCAAATGAAAGCTTGCATAGTTTAATGTACTTATGTAAGTACACATATCCATATTCAGATAGGCTCACAGCAGTCTCTAGAAATCAGAAATCAGTTCATTTCCTTAATGTTATTTCATAAACATCGAATTTACTTTTTATAGGACAGACAGCCCTCTCTTTGGAAATGGGTCAAACATCTGGCTTTTGATGTTCAGGTTCTTGTGTCCAATAACATTTAAAATCAACTGGAAGTTGATTTTTCAAGACTTCTCTGCTCTGATTCTAGCTTTCCGGAATCCAACATGTAAATTCCATTTTCTTAGAGGTTACACTGAAAGAAATCTACTTCTAATATAAAACTACACAGAGAATAAAAAAGAACAAGGGATTAGGATATCAACTTAAATCAGGATTTGAATTGCTCCAAAGATAGATTATGAATATGTAAGATTAGTTTTTTTGTTTTTTGTTTTTTTTTTTGGTTTTTCAAGACAGGGTTTCTCTGTAGCTCTGGAGCCTGTCCTGGAACTAGCTCTTGTAGACCAGGTTGGCCTCTAACTCACAGAGATCCACCTACCCCTGCCTTCCGAGTGTTGGGATTAAAGGCATGCGCCACCACTGCCCAGCAAGATTAGTTCTTAAAGTGGAGAAAAGTATAATAAAAACTAAGCAAAAAATGGGAACAGGTCCTAGAGCAGAAATATACTTAAAAAGTGGTTTCTTAATATTAAAGAAGTTTAATCAGGCATAAAGTACACCTGCAAATTCTGATGCACATAGTATATTATACTCCATAAGAAAAAATATAACACCAGAAAATAATCTTTAATACTACACAAACATTTAATAAATACCTATTTGGCAGATGCTCCAAAATTAAACACTTAGCATCTTGGAGTGTAATAGCTCCTTTGGGAAGTTTTTTATGACACATTCTAACAGCAGAGCTACGCTTGCGCAGTAGCAGCGTCTCGCGTGCTTTTGTCTGTTGTGAGAGATCTGGGTGCATGGAGAGCACCGGAGGGAATACAGCAAACCTCAGAGAGAACCTTCAAAGGGCAGCAAAAAGTTTCCTTCTCTAAAAACTTTAGAACATAATCCTAGACTAGCAGTCATGAAACCAAATTTACCCATTTGTTCTCTTTTAAGGTATGAAAGACATGAAATTAGGTTTATGAAACCTGTTAACCTTTAGATGAACAAGTTGGGTGTTACATCATTGGGTGAAGGCTATCAGTGAGAATTTCTTAGAAAAGGAATGGGCTTAAATTTTCTAGAGTTGGTCATAAAACAATAGTAAATAAAACTCTTACAAGAGTAGAAGACTCATGAAGATCAAGATCATATATGATATAGCAATTTAACATACAATTCAAAGGCCAGTTTCACGAGCGGTCTATTTGCTCTTTTGAGATTGGTCTCAAACTTACTACATAGCTGAGTGTGGTCTTGCATTCCTGACCCTCCTGCTTCTACCTCCGGAGGATTTGCTTTCTTGTGAAACTACTTTATCTAGCATAAAAACTTAGTGGGATAGAAGAAAGGAAAAACCTGTGCTTAAAAAGTTAAAAAGACTAGTAATATAGGTCATTATAATCATAAAGAGGAAAACTATGTTCTTTTTACTTTGTCAAAGTTCTGCATCTGTTCCCGGTTGGTCAGCCAGGACTCCAGGTCCTGGGCGGTCTGAATCACAAATGCTTCATAATCAGCAAACATCTGTATAAAGCGGCTGGCAAAGACCTCTCGTAGTTGTACGTTGAGTTGGTAGTCCCTCAATTCTGCCTCTTCACACTGTAATTTCAAATCCTTTTCTTTTTCATTCAGAGAAGCTGAGAGGTCAATTTTTTCCACAGTCACACCAGTCCTCTCAGCGAGAGCCTGGAGGCGGGCTATGGTTTCATTGCCCTTCATTAACTCGTACATGCTGATGTTGCTGGTGGGGACATTGCCGTTCTTTCTGTCACTAACCAGATCTTTCAGAACCATATTCTTCAGTTTGGTGGCACTCTCACTACAATGGAGGCTGCCTTCAGGAGGAATCCCAAATTGGAGAAGAACTTCAGACAGTTCTTGGATAAAATCCACTTTATTGGGGAACTGTGGAAATTCTTCAGGCAATTCAATAAAATGGTTGTCAATATCCACGAAACACAAATTAGCCTGAAATAGAAAAAAAAAATCACAAATGTTTTGTGAACATGTACAAGGCTGACTTATTAAAACTTAAATGACTTCAGAAGGCCCCAATATTGTAGATTCAAAGCCAAGTTTTCTTGGGCTATATTTAGCCTCCTAAACAGCATTACTGTCCACCTGTGACTGGCCTAACATCTTTGTAAGTTACAAATTTACCAATGAGACCCTTTAGCTCCCACCAACCTTGTGAGACTATTTTATCTGCATAAAATACTTAATGGCTAAGAATTGTCACAGAATATTTTACACTGTGAAGATATGTCTTTGCCAACATGCCTTCTGATTGACTTATTAAAGAGCTGAACGGCCAATACGTGGCCAGGAGAAGATAGGCAGATTTCTGAGGAGAGAGAGAGGAAAAGAAAAGGAATCTAGGCACATAGATTCCACCAGAGACTCTGAAGAAGTTGAAGACACAGTACAGAACAGAGGCAACCAAGTCACATGGCAGAATGTAGATTTAAAAAGACAGGTTAAATTCTAAGAACTAATTAGGAACAAGCCTAAGCTAAGGCTGAGCATGTCATTACTGGGGAGCTGGCGGTACAAAGACTTGTTAGGAAGAATGCTGTCACATACTTGAGGCCATAGCAGAGTCTTTCCTGCTTACCTCATTTTCCCACCAATGCATCTGAAAAATTCACGAAACTGTTATCACATTAGAACATGGTATTTAGTATCATTTAGATCCTGGCTCTCAGGTAAAGATTGCTCATATTTATCTCCAGAATAAACATCTCTTATTCGCTTTAAGGTGAGAACTGTGCTTTTATGGTGACAACTTAAAAAAATTTAATGTTCTAAAATATTCTATTATAAACAGAAACAAATTAAACCATGCTTAAACCATTTTAAAAATACCAGACCCCAGGCTAGCCTTGAATTTGCTATACAGATAAGATGAACACGACACTGATCCCCAGCTCCTTCGGCTTCCTAAATTTTCAGGCAAACACCAGCCAGGCCTGGCTCAAAAATTATTTCTTTACCCTGCATTTTTTGGTGGGTATGCGTGGTGTGAAAATTGAGACTGGAGTCTTGGGCATCCTAAGAAAGTTCTCTTCAGTACTTTACAATAATCTTTTCAAGGCCCAGAACTACCTGTGAGTGAGATGTCAGGGATCGTACCCAGGACCTTCATCACACTAGGCCTATGCCCTACACGGAGTTACATAAGCCAGCAGCATATAAGGTTCAGAGTCTTTTATTCGTTAATTTTTTTTCTAGCACATAAAATAGCTTGTTTCATTATGACATTTTCTTTTTTATTTTTAAAGATTTATTTACTATGTATACAGTGTTCTGTCTGCATGCATGTCTACACACCAGAAGAGGGCATCAGATCCCATTATAGATCACCATGTGGTTGCTGGGAATTGAACTCAGGACCTCTGGAAGAACAGTCAGTGCTCTTAACCTTTGAGCCATATCTCCAGCCCCTCATTATGACATTTTCTACATTTATACTTTGGTCATGTGATGTAGATGGGCCTTCTGTTATGTGTTATTTTCATTGGTTAATAAAGAGACTGCCTTGGCCCTCTGATAGGACAGAAAATTAGGTAGGCGGAGTAAACAGAACAGAATGCTGGGAAGAGGGCAGTGAGGCAGACGCCATGGAGCCAGCCACCAGGTCAGACATGCTGAATCTTTTCCGGTAAGCCACCACCTCGTGGTGCTACACAGATTATTAGAAATGGGTTAATCAAGATGTGAGAGTTAGTCAGTAACTAACTTTCTAGAGATAATGGGCCAGGCAGTGTTTAAATGAATACAATTTGTGTGTTGTTATTTCCGGGGCTAAGCTAGTCGTGCGGGAGCCGGGTGAGGTGAAAAGCAGGCCTGCCCACAGCCCCTACTACAGTCATGCTTGCCTGTCATTTTAATGTCATTTACTTTCATGCCTTAAATATATATGTACGCATATTGTTAAACCTTGTCTTCCTCTCAGTTACCCTCTCAACCTTCCCATTAGGTCCTTCTACCATTTGTGTGTGTGTGTGCATGTATATACATGGGGGTATGTGTGTATGTATATGTATCTGTGTGTATCATGTGTATCTATATGTGTATATCTATTGGTGTGCATGTGTATATATGTATATATGTGTGCATGTATGGATATGTGCATGTGCATGTGTATGTGTATACATATATATTTATGCGTGTATATATGTATTTATGTAGCATGATGAATAAAAACCCAGAGACAGATATTGGGGTTTAACCTGAAGGTTAGAAAAGCCAAACAGCCACTGGTTCTTACCTCTACCTCAGTTCCAAATGGTGATCCTGCCTTCAGGAATCCTCAGTACGAGACTATGCCTGAGAGCTGTCTCCTCCTGTCTTATATATTCCTCTCTAGTGCTGGGATTAAAGGCATGCCGGATTACCACCCGGATTCTATGGCAAACTAGTGTGGGTACTAAGTGTGTGTCATCACTGTCTGGTCTGTAAGGCTGACCAGTGTGGCTGTTTTACTCTCCGATCTTCAGGCAAGCTTTTATTTATTAAAATATAAATGAGCCGGGCAGTGGTGGCACAAGTCTTTACTCCCAGCACTTGGGAGGCAAAGGCAGGTGGATCTTTGTGAATTCGAGACCAGCATGGTCTAGAAGAGCTAGTTCCAGGCCAGGCTCCACAGCTAAAGAGAAACCCTGTCTTGGAAAAAAAAAAAAGAAATGAAATATCACTATATATACGTATGTACCTATGTGTGTATGTATATGTGTACCTATATGTGTGCATGTGTATGTGGACATGTATATGTGTCACAGGTACGTGTTTATATGTATATATATGTATATACACACACATACACAGGCACATACATACATATATATGTGTGTGTATGTATGTGCCTGTATGTATGTATGTATTAAAAAAATCTAGATTCCACATAAAGAAAACACACAAAATATTTTGTCTTTCTGAGCAGATTTATTTCTTTAACATGATCTCTAGTTCATCCATTTTCTAACAAATGGCAATATCTTCCCTTTTTGTGGCTGGATAAATTTCCATTGTGTATGCAAGCCACATTGTTCTTTTTAGTATATCTGTTATACAGCTATGCAAACTTCCTATCTTGGCTATCATGAATAGTGTATCAACAAACATGAATATGTAGGGATCTCTGTGGAGTTCAGACTTAGATACCTCTGGAAGAGCTCTTAACTGCTGAGCCATCTCTCCAGCTTCTGATTTTTGTAAAATTTTTTTCTAATACAGTAAAGATGAACAAAGATGAACAAGAACAGTTGAAGGTGAGGACAAGACTGTGATCAACGCTCAGTGCTGCACTTTTCTGCCCCTCCCTCCCCCAGCCCTCCTAAAAGATAACATAACAAATGGCTACTACACCTATCATTTTAAATCATGAGGAAAGAGAGTAGGTAGTTAATTACAAGTCTAGGCAGCTCTATTTGCTACCTAACAACTAAAATAATACTTTCTTGAAATAATAATCTTGTGACATTCTTATGACTATTTTTAGAAACTTTCTTGCTAGATTTAGTCATTTTATTTCAGAGTGTTCAGGGGAACACATTTAAGTCTCCTTGAAAAGACTGCTTTACTTTTATTTATTATTTATTTGCTTTGGTCTTTTGAGACAGTGCAACCCTAGCTGTTCTGGAGTTCACTTTGCAGACCAGGCTGGCCTCAAACTCACAGAGATCTGTCTGCCTCTGCCTCTGCTTCTGCAGTACAGGAATTAAAGGTGGGTTGATGTAAAATTTCCCTCTGTATGCCATGAATATGTTTTATTATCATTGATTATTAAAGAAGCCGTTTTGGTCATGGCTTAGCAGAGCAAAGCCAGGCGAGAAATCTGAACAGAGATATAGAGAGAGCAGGTAGAGTCAGAGAGATGCCAGCCAGCAGCCAGAACCTTACTGGTACATCACAGCCTCACGGTGATCCATAGATGAATAGAAATGGGTTAATTTAAGATATAAGAGTTAGAAATATGCCTAAGGTATTGGCTAAACAGTGTTGCAATTAATACAGCTTTGTGTTGTACTCAGGTCTGGGCGGCCAGAAAACAAGCCTACAGTGGGCACCACTACCACCTCCTTTATCTTTGTTTTTTTGAGACAGGAAATATTACAGAATATTTGATCATATTATTAGTTCTGAGATTGCATTATTTGATGGAAAAAACTGTTTCTAGTTGTGGTGTGGCTCAGTTATAGTGTATACCTTTAATCTAAGAGCTTTCTGCTTGAATATTGTAAATAGGATTAAATAAAGTCAACCATAGATGATCTCAGCACTTGGGATCCCACACCTTTAATCCCAGCACTAGGGAGGTGGAGACAGGTGTGATATGGCTGGACGGAGGAGACAGGAGCTCAGTGCAGTCTGAGGGGACAGTCTGAGGACGGGATCGCTCGTCCCTTCAGTCTGAGCAGGGGAAGAGGTAAAGGTCTCTCTGGTGCTGGCCGCACTGCTTCTCTGGTCCCTCAGGTTTCAGCCTAAAATCTGACTCCGGGTTTTATTTATTAAAACTAATTAGAATTTGTGCCACATGACTTTTACAGTTGATTCGTTATTTCATATTATCTCATAGATGAGTTTGTGTATTTATTAAACAATGTTGAGATCATGATTGGCAAAAAAAAAAAAAAAAACAACTAGAAAATCACAGACATCATTTTGAGAGCTTTTAGAAATTTTAACCGGCTTATCTTTAGGGTCAAATGATACAAGCAGACAGAAAGGTCTTCCAACTGTATGTAGACTAAGTTGCATTAAAATATTTTAACAAGTATTCATAGAAATCAGAAAGAACTTAAATATTTAAATAAATTTTCTTCTATCTTTAACAAACAATTTATAATATATAATCAATAAAAAACTAAAACAACATTAAGTCTTAAAAAAAACCCCAAAAAATCCATTTGGCTAGTAGTCTATTTCTTTTCCTTTGAAAATGTAAAGTCTTTAATTCTTGTCAGTCAGTGGTGGCGCACACCTTTAATCCCAGCACTCAGGGTGAATCTCTGAGTTTGAGGTCAGCCTGGTCTAGAGTAATTTCCAGGGCAGCCAGGGCTACACAGAGAAACCGTGTCTGGTAGGGATGGGAAGAAAAGGATTTAATTATTTTGAACTGACACGATACATTAACATAACTCGGAAGAAAACAAGAAAATTCAGGGAATAGAGAAGATGAATTCGGGAGGAGAGAACTGACAGCAGTCCCCCACTCTGCCCACAACAGACACGATAATATGTATGGTTCACATGGCCTCAAGCAAGCTGTTTCCCCTGTGGTGGATTCAACAGTTATGGCCCTCTTAGACTCATGTGTTTGACTGCTTGGCCCATCCGGATTGGCACTATTAGAGGTGTGGCCTTGTTGGAGTAGGGTCACTGTAGAGACTGGCTTTGAGGTCATAAATGCTCAAGCTGGGCCTTGTGACTCAGTTTTTACTTCTGCCTGTGGATCACAGAATCTCAGCTCCTGCTCTTGCACCATGTCTCCCTGCATGCTGGCATGCTCTGCCGTGATGACAATGGACTAAACCTCTGAAACTGCAAGCCAGTCCCAATTGTATATTTTCCTTTATATGGGTCACGGTGGTCGTGGTGCCCTTCACAGCAACAGAATCCTAACTAAGACATCCCTTTGAATGACAAAAGTTAATTTTGGCAAAGCAACACGGATGACTGATTACAGAGTTCCTTCCTTCTTTCTTTCCTTCCTTCCTTTTGGGGAGGTTTATTGAGACAGTGTTCCTCTGTAGTCCTAGCTATCCTGGCACTTGCTCTATAGACCAGGCTGGACTCAAACTCACAGAGATTCATTTGCCTCTGACTCCTGAGTACTTGGATTAAAGCTGTGCACCACCACTGCCTGGCCCTTGTATTCACTTCTTAAAATGAGAATCCCTATGAAAATAAGAACAAGTTAAAGTGAAGCTCAGTTAAGAGCAATTTTATTACGTAAGGTGATAATTAAATAGCTAGTAATGTAATTAATTATTATGTTTTAAATAGGCCATATTATCCTCATCAATATTTCATTTCAAAGCTTTCCATCCCAATTTTGAGTAGCATTAACAAGAACAAAAATTTAAATTTAAAATGTTTTCAATTACTCTTGATTATTTTATTCCTAAATATTTGAAAATACAATTCAGAGAAAGAATAGTACCAATAAGCTAGGGGTTAAAATTTCTGTCTCACAGATAATGTCAAGCTAACATTAAGAACAGGCTAATAACTGGCCACAGCTGAGGATTGCAAGCAGGGAAGTGTCTGCTGTCTCCATCGTCCTGCTTGCTGAGACATACTACTTTCCATTCAACGGAGGTAAAAAATAAAATTTAACTCAGTACCAAATTTCACAATTATACATTCCTGTGAGGTATTTTTGCTTAATCTGAAGTGGGAAGATCCACTTACAATCTAGATCTTTTGAGGTGGGAAGACCCACTACTAATCTGGGCCCTGCCTTCTGCTGGAAGCCGACATAAGGACAAGGAAGAAGGAAGCCTCTTTCTTTGACTGCTTGCTCTCATCCCGCTAGCAAGTCTATTCCTTCACTGGCATCAAATATACATACATACACATATGATTAATATGTATGATGAATATATATATTAATTTATAAATTCTATTATTCTAGAGTGCCCTAATACACTGCTTCAAAACAAAATTTATAGCATGAGGATGAAGAGAAAGTTAAATGCTTTTAGAATAATAAAATGGTAATATCAAACTATTATTGAACCATCTTCAGAAATGTATTGCTGTGAAATTTGTTACTGTTCTTCTTTGAAGTGTATTTAACTAGTAGTTGTGCTATATCAAATATCAGAGAAACAGTTTGCAGGCTAGGGCTCAGGCCCTAACCAACAGTACCTGGGAGATTCAGATGTAACTACTGCACAAAGACAATGCTATGTAATAAAAGCCACGACGGAAGTCGACAAATGCTTCATCATTAATGACAAGCTTTACCTCTTGTGGAAGTTCTAATTTAGACCGGTCAGTTCCTTCTTTTGATTGAAGACCCATCAGATAAGGGACAGGGGCATCGAGAAAATGTAGCAGAGAGGCGGGGAGGATGGGCACATAAACATGCTGCCACTGAAATGGGAATAAGAGTGTGGTGATGCCTTCCGCCACGGTCATCAGACGCTGATAATCTGCACAGACGAGAGAGAAACGGGAACAAAGTCCAGGTGAAAACATCAGAAAGAATTGTGTTAAAATCCGTATTTGTGGACTGGAGAGATGGTTCACTGGTTTAGAGCACTTCCTGCTCCTAGAGGGCCTGAGTTCGATGCCCAGCACCCACACGATGCCTAACCAAAGTCAGCAACTCCAGTTCTAGAGGATCTGGCCCCTCTTCGGACCTCTGAGGCTACCAGGCACATGGTGCACATACACACATGCAAGCAAAATAGTCATACACATAGTCATGGAGGAAGTCGGCCAGTTCCAGCTCATCATAGTTAGCGAGTTAAGTTATTTCACCAGCGTAGCTTGCAGAAAGTATGGGGGCAGGATCACCACTCTCCCTGAAAGCACTAGAACGTAAGTCATTGCACCCTCTCCATCTCCTCCCCACCTGCCTCTCCTGCCAGGGTCTTCCTATACAGACCACAATTCAGAGAGATGAGCTTGTCTCTGCTCTGCATTTCCAGAGCTGGGATCAAAGGCATGTGCCATTATGCACACACAGCACTGAATTCTCTTAAAATGTGAAGGAATCAAAACCTAACAAATTGTTTTTGCTATCTAGCCTTCTGAAAAAGTACAACATTGTTGCTATGAATCACTTTCATATATATACACACACAATCTCCAATTCAGAGGTTAATTTTTCTCTCCTTGTGTAGGTGATCATGGCTACAGCTTTGATAATCTGATTTTTTTTTAGGTAATTTTATTTTGGTGCTTATTTTGTAAGTAAGTAAAAAAAATCAGGAGAGCTGTGCAGGCGGCAGGCGGCTCTCGTATCTCTCGGTGACCGCTGCTGAGGCCTGCTGCAGTTGCTCTTGGGTTCTTCTGCAGAGCCACCTTGCTGCAGAGCGGGGAGAACCTGCAGGCTCCTGGGGAGAACTGCACTTCAGCAATGAGAGTGGGAGCAGTGCTCCAGCCGTCTCTATTGAGAATGGGGACATGGAAAGAACACTGCTGGATGCTCAGCATGAATCTGGATGAAGTAGCTCCGAGAGTTCTCACTGTGACAGCCCACCTCGCTCCCGGACAAAAGATACCAACAGATCTGAAACAGACACTCGCAGCTTTGCAGAGGGAAGCAGCACTCTGTCTGAGGAAGACTATACTGAGAGAAGAAGAGAGGTTGAAAGCATCTTGAAGAAAAACTCAGACTGGATATGGGATTGGACAAGTCGGCCAGAAAATATCCCCGCACCCGAAGCGAACAACCACTCTCAGCAAGAGAAATACAAGCGTTATGAGAAAGGGGGCATTTTCTTCCTTCTCTGCTGCGGTCTCATCCGCTGGCCACTGGACTGGGGATCTACACTGGGTGTGTCTGACAACTCCCACTAGCACCTTCTGATGGAAAAATTGGATCTGACTCTCGTTCACACAGAGGGTTCATGTCTGAGCTGTGACAGATCACTGAAGAGCTACCATGATCCTTGGGTGTCTGCACTGTGTGTTTCTTTGTTCTGTAAATGCGGTATTCCTGATTTAGTGAGACAGAATAGACTCTAATATCATGACCTATAATTATACCTACGGGATCAATTAATAAGCATGTAAGACTGATGCCCATTGTAGCATTTATTAGTAAATTTTCTTTGACTATTAGATATAAATAGTATGAATAATTTTAATATAGTAGCAATGGTGTATTTAAAAATGATCTGTAATTTTTTAAAAAAGATTTATTTATTTAATATGTATACATTTATGTATTTATTATATATACAGTATTTATGTATTTATTATGTATAAGTATTCTTAGTATTCTGTCTGCATGCAGGCCAAAAGAGGGCACCAGATCTCATTACAGATGGTTGTGAGCCACCATGTGGTTGCTGGGAATTGAACTCAGGACCTTTGGAAGAGCAGGCAGTGCTCTTAATCACTGAGCCATCTCTCCAGCCCCAATGATCTGTAATTGTAATCTAGTTATGACACTTTACACTTCAAAAGAATGAGTAAGTGAAATTAAAATCATTAAAGGGTTTGTCCCAAAGGAATATTGTGGTCTTATAATCCTACTACGTAGTAGAAAATGTTACATGGTTAATTAAACGGGTGCAGGTTATCTGTAAAGACCTCTTACTGTATGAATTAAGTAGCAAGTAGAAGCTAAGGTTACCCACAAACCCCACTGTGTAGTTGTTCCCTCCCTCCTTTCTTGCTTAGTAGGATGATTTCAGACTCCTTGTCGGCCATCACTGTTTTGGGTGGTCAGTTTTGTTGCAGGCACCTTCATCATTCTGCTGATTTTAAAATCCCACTGTTTGTACTTAAAACTTTGGAGATTACTGGATTTGCATATGGGTGAATCAGTAGCCAGTGCTTCTGTTAATCCAGGTATATTCGTATATTCCCAGCCTTCCTCTTTTCTATAGCATGTTCTGAAAGGCTGCCTCCTTGACAGCTGTATATATCCTGTTCTATTTCTTTCATTGTCCCACACTTAACTCAGGTGAGTTAAAATAAAAGAAATGTTTTAATGGTCAAAAAAAAAAAAATCAGAGCTGAGTGATGGTGGTGCACACCTTTAATCCCAGCACTCAGAAGGCAGAGGCAGGTGAATCCCTCTGAGTTCAAGGCCAGCCTGGTCTACAGAGTGAGTTCTAGGACAGACAGGCCTGTTACACAGAGAAACCCTGTCTTTAGAAAACAAAACAAAACAAAACAAAAAACAGACAAAACACAACTACATTTTCTATATTTAACTCCTAACTACAGAATATCAAATCTAAGGAAAAAAAGAATTACCATATAATTAAAGGATAGGGTTTTTTTTTTTGGTTTTTCGAGACAGGGTTTCTCTGTAGCTCTGGAAACTGTTCTGAAACTCACTCTGTAGACCAGGTTGGCCTTGAACTCACAGAGATCCACCTGCCTCTGCCTCCTGAGTGCTGGGATTAGAGGTGTGCACCACCATGCCCACCTCTGGTTGTCTTTACATAAATTATTTATCAAAACCAGCAATTGTCCATGATATTACGCATGCCCTCTTAAACAGTCTGCCTTAGATGTTTTGTACTTACACATGTTCAAAATTCCTACTTAAATCCTTGGAGGCAGACAGATATGTTTTAGAATTAGATTTCTTTTTTAGACTTTAAAAGGCGATAACATGCTTAGATCATAATCTCTGACAGGGATAAAGTTTATAAGTAACATTAATATTTTCAGAGCAAGCCATGTAAGTGTTTTATAGGGAAGAGAGAAAACAAATTTAATTTGGTTCTGATCTGGTTTTGCTGATAATAAATCAGTTACAAAAATAATCATTTTCAGAACTGTTTTAGATTTGGTAATTGAAGATAAGGGATTGTGGACTCATAAGAATTTCACAGAATTCAGTGTACACAATTACATTAAAACCCAGGGAATACTTTGGTACTATCTTCTACTAAAGGTTAAGAAAAATAGTCAGATGTTACTTGGTTCATTTGACCAAGTACAAAAAGGATGTTTTCTACTTAAAATTTTTGTGCCATTCTATCATTAAAATGTTTTAAAGATTTATTTTTAAATTATGTGTATATGGGGGGAAGGCACATGCATATGAGGGAAGCTACCCTTTGGGTACAGAAGAGAGTGCTGGGTCTCCCTGGATCTGGGATTACAGGCAGTTGTGAGCTGCCCTACACGGGTCCCGAGAAAACAAGGACCGCGTATGCTCTTAGCAGATGCTGGAGAGATGGCTCAGAGTGCTGGCAGAGGACCTAGACTCGGTTCCTAGCATCCACATGGTAGCTTACAACCATCCATGCTTCCAAGAGATTCAATGACCTCCCTCTCCTTCCATCCAAGGGCACCAGGCACGCACGTGCTGCATAGACAGACATGCAGAGAAAATATTCATTCACATTTAAGAAAATAAATTTAAAAGAAAAAGTTTAAATTACAATTTTGTATATAATTGGGGAGGGGGAGGCAGTCACAGGACAACCTGCCGGGAATTGGTTCTTTTCTACCACTATGGTGGTCCTGGGGTGGACTTTAGGTCATCAGGTTTAGCGGCAAGCACCTTTACCTGCTGAGTTATCTTACCAGACCACTTTTCTGTCTGTATTTGAACATCTTTAATACATACTGTATTTTACAAATATACTGGAGAATTATGCTGTACTGCCTGAACTGAATGCGTTCTGGGGCCACATCTGCACAATACTTTGCAGTTGAACCTGTAATGAAGAAACCTTCATTTTTATTGAACTTTATCATTTTTAAATGAATACCTTTAGTAGTCTATAATACTGTTTTTTAGATGGATGCCTAGTTATTAAGAGCTCAACTATACTTGAAATCTTCATTGCTTTATTACTAATTAAGAATAAAATTTAAGTGGAACTTACTTAACATGAATAATCCTAAGACAAACACCAGGTGGTCTGAAGGGTCGGGGTCAGTAACCTAATTATTTGGTAGGTATGGATGGACACACACACAACCATTTGATATTCACAGAAGCAGGACTAGGAAAGTTGGTACTAGAGGGGAAGAGATCAAAAACAACAAATAGTTACCTACTGCTCTGCTAGTGCTCAGGCAAGATGCCTGGGGTGGGAACAGGAATAGAAAGCTGACCTGAAAATTCGAGTTGGCTGAGTGGCCTCTAGGTTCAGAAAGCATGCACTGTTGAACTAACTTTACTTCTGCAGGACCACCTCATGACGTCAGGACCGCCTCATTATGTCAGGTGCCCCGCTGACTTCTGCAGGACCGCCTCATGACGTCAGGACCGCCTCATGACGTCAGGACCACCTCATTACGTCAGGTGCCCCATGGCACTCTCTCCTCCCCCACAAATTCTGCCTGGGAAGCGGAGCATGTGTCCACAAAGCACATCATTAGTGATGAATAAAAGTTACAGACCAGACCAAATTTATTGGTGCTACTAAATGTTTTCTCATCTCACGTTCAAAAGAGTTTTGAATGAACAAACGAACACACACACACACACACACACACACACACA